TGCCAGGTGCAGGGTCTGCTAGCTGGGTGCTGGCAGGCTTGCACCTGGCACGGGCACCGTAGCCAGCCCGTGCCCCTTTAAGGGGTCCGGGGCCGGGAGGGGGGCATAGAGTTTCCCTGGTGTTGGCCAGAGTGGCCACCAGGGAAACCTGGGGAGGGCTAGCCTCCCACTAGTTCGAATTAAGGGGCTACACACCCCTTAATTCGAACTAGTAAGTTCGAACTAGGCTTAATCCTCGTAAAATGAGGTTTTCCTAGTTCGAACTAAGCGCTCCGCTAGTTCGATTTAAATTTGAACTAGCGGAGCACTAGTGTAGCGCCTATGAATGTTAGTTCGAACTAACGTCCGTTAGTTCGAACTAACTTTGTAGTGTAGACATACCCATAGTGATTTATAGCCACAATTGGCAGGCCCACTTACAACATGGGGCGGCCGTATTGCAGTCCCTCAGGGAAGCTGGCCTGACAGCAAACCCTGCAACATGCCACCTCAGAAGGGATGAGATCACCTATCTGGGCTATATCTTGGGGAAAGGCATCATATACCCCTTAGTGGGAAAGGTCCAAGCCTTCCAGCAGTATGCCCCTCCATTGTCAAAAAGGCAAGTACGCCATTTCTTGGGGTTAACCGAATACTATCCACGCTTCATCCCGGGCTTCTCCTCCATCGCAGCCCCTCTTACCAACCTCAAAAAGGAGAGTCCAAACCGAATCCAGTGGACCCAAGCTTGAGGAAGCTTTCCAAGCCCTAAAGGCCCAACTCTGTTGAAAACCCGTCCTGTACAGCCCCAACTTCTGAAGGGAGTTCTTGTTACAGACAGATACCTCTGATGTGGACCTAGGAGCTGTTCTCTCCAAGGTTGTGAAAGGTGATGAGCACCCAATTCTTTACATCAGTAGGAAGCTATTTCCCAGGGAGAAGGCCTATTCTGTAATCGAAAAGGAGGTGCTAGCAGTGAAATGGGCAGTGGACTCACTCTGATATTACCTCCTGGGTAGACACTTTACCCCCGCCACAGATCATGCCCCGCTTCGCTGGCTACATGCAATGAAAGAGACAAACCCCAGAACTATGAGGTGGTACCTCTCCCTCCAACCCTTCTTCTTCTTCTGGATTCAACATTGGGCTAGGAAGGCCCATGCAAATGCAGACTTTTTCTCTACGGGGGATAGAACGCAGTTGGGGAAGGGGCAGACCCCAACGGAGATCATGAGGGGGTGGTCGTATGAGAGAGAGAGGGGAGGGCCTGGCAGTGCAGAGGCTAAATAAGGCCTTTTTGCCCAATTAGCCCCGCCCCGTTTCATCTGCGGCCAGTGCTAGGCCTAGAGGGAGAATAAAAGGATTGAACCTAGCTCAGTTAGGGGCAGACCAGTGAAGAGGCAGGAGCTGGTTCTGCTGTCTGCTGGACCTGAGCCAGAGCTGTCTGCTGGGTTGGCTGCAGGGGGATGCAAGCCTCCAACCCCTCCCCCTGGCACAAAGGGGGAGAACCAGAAGGAAAACCCTATGGTGGAAGGGGAAATTGGACTCTTGGAGCCATGCCCCAAACTGAAGGAACAGACTCTGATAAGTGGCCAGAAGTCTTACACCCAGGGCCCCCAGCTAACACCAGGACCTAACCACTAGGCCACCCCACTGCCTGGGAGACCTGTCCACATGTCTTTTAAAAGTTTATCGCAGAATGTCTATGAAATAGTTTTAACAAAACCTACAACATTACATTTTTTAAGAATCAGGTTTGAAATTTGCTGTGTGTGTTGTGCCATCAGGAAATTAAAATTTAAATAAAAAATGATTACTTATTGTCGGCAGAACGCGGCAGTAGTGTAGATGCAGGTATAGTTTTGTCGACAAAAGCCCACTTTTGTTGACAAAACCCTGTAGTCTAGATATACCCACAGTGATCAGTTTTGGGACCTGCTCTGTTCAATATCTTCATCAACTGTTTAGATAATGGCATAGAGAGTACGCATATTAAGTTTGCAGAAGATACTAAGTTGGGAGGGGTTGCAAGTGCATTAGGGGGTAGGGTCATAATTCAAAATGATTTGGACAAACTGGAGAAGTGGTCTGAGGTAAATAGAATGAAGTTTAATAAGGAGAAATGCAAAGTACTCCACTTAGGAAGGAACAATCAGTTTCACACACAGAATGGGAAATGACTGTCTAGGAAAGAGCACTACAGAAAGGGATTTAGGGGTCATAGTGCACTAGAAACTATGAGTCAAGAATGTGACATTTGCAAAAAAGCAAACATGATTCTGGGATGCATTAACAGGAATGTTGTGAGCAAGACACAATAAGTGATTCTTCTGCTCTACTCTGCACTGATGAGGCCTCAATTGGAGATATTGTGTCCAATTCTGGGCACCACATTTTAGGAAAGATGTGGAGAAATTAGAGATGGACCAGAAAAGATCAACAAATATAATTAAAGGTCTATAAAACATGACCTAGTCCTTTGCCCTGGGCTGCTTCCTACCTCGCCCTGGTTCCCCTGGGACCCATTCGCCTTCAAGTCAGTACTTGCCGGGGTTGTGGGCGCGCTTCTGCCTCCCTGGGGTTGGTGGTTGCTGGCTCTGACTCCAGATCAGGCACGGGTGGTGACTCCGGTCTCAGCTGCTGCAGAAACACTGGCCCGGCCTGGTCTACTGCCTCATCCTGCGGTCTCCCTTGCTGCAGGGCTCCCTCTGCTTTTATACCCAGGCTCTGCTGGGAGTATGCCCAGCAGGGTTGGAGGGGCAGGGCTTTCTCCACCAGCTGGGCCTGGGCTACCCCCTGTCCTTCAGTGCGGGGCCTGTCCGCCCTATCACACACCCGCTACACAGTTTTGGTCCCAGTGTGCCCTGGGCATAATCCAGAGTGCAAAGGTGTGCATGAACTTTGAGATAGTTACTCACAGTGCATTGTTCTCAAAGTCGATAGCAGCCACCATGCAGGGGATGCGCTACGTCAAACTACCTTGAATTCTTGCACACAGTGGGAACATTCACCTTTGACTGTACAAAATTGGTTGCTAAAAAAAATCGACCTTAATACATTTGAGCTTATCTCTCAGTGTAGGCTTGGCCTAAGAGATGGTAGCTAAGTTGGCAGAGGTCTTCTGTTGACTTAACTGCATCTATACAGGGGTTGGAATGACCTGACTAAGGGCACAACATTTTTCACAATTTTTCACTGATCAACATAGCTAAGTCAATCTAGTTTTAAAGTGTAAATCATATGTAAATCAATTTCTTAGGATTAGGCAGTAGCATTAAGAAACCTTGCTTTTCATTCTGCGCATCAACTGTTTTTCTACATTATTTCCACATAACCACACAATATTTTTCATATTTATTTTTCTGTCCTTATAGATGACATCAGAAAATTGTTAAGAGAGCTAGATGTCACAAATTCAGTCATAGCTCGACTGGCGCCAGAAGGTAACCTGCAGTGCTCCTTTGTGTAAAACCTGTCAAAAGTAATTTACTTTTATTGTTTGATCAGGCAATTTAATAAAAAGCTTTCTTATAAGTTATGATTTGTCATAACACATTAAATAAGTGATTGACCTGATGCTTTTATAGCCACAAGTCAGTAATTTACTGAGTTATGATATGTTATGTAGATTGAACAGCACGTTTATAGCAAAGTATGGTAAGATTAACAGATAATGTTTATTGACTTTTAGATAATATTACAACTTACTAGCTGAATGAGTATATATTCTATTGAACAAAACTAATTTTATTTTCACATTGTAGAAGATATAATTGTCCATGAGTTTGCCAGTCTTTGCCTAGCACATATGGCAGTTGAATATACCAGTAAAGTGCAAATATTTGAGCAAGGTGGACTAGAACCACTTATCAGATTGTTAAGTAGCCCTGATCCTGACGTTAAGAAGAACTCTGTTGAATGCATCTACCACCTCGTACAGGTAATTATAGAAACAGATAAGCATTACATTTGCATTTCTTTTCTAGAGATTAATCACTAAAAATATCTGGTTCTATTACTATAATACCTATAATTTATCAATTTATTTAAAAATTGCTTAATCTCAAAGGGCTTAAGTCTCATTTCAGTTTCAGCTATAATTTTATCTTACTATAGCTATTTTGACTACAGTTCAGTTACTCTTGATTTTCATCATGGTTTGTCTAGACTGTGGAGTTTTTCTGGGATACTGGAGGAATCCCAGAAAAACTCCACCACATTCAGGGAACGCGTCTGCTCTTCCAACATTTTTTGTGGAAGAGCAGATGCGCTCTTTTTGAAGCTCTGTCTTCCTTGTTTCATGAGGAAGAAGGGCTCTTCCGAAGGGATCTTCCGAAAGAGGAGGTTTTTTCCGAAATTTGGCCCAGTGTAGATGGGCCAAATTTCAGAAAATCCTCTTTAAAAAAAAATCGGAAAATTTGCGTACCTTTTTCCTATAAAAAACGACAGTATAGACGTAGCCCACGTGAGCAAGATGAGAATCAAACACAAAAACATTTAATTAAATACAAATCTTGTTTTTCTATCTGGTAAGTCCTTACCTCCTACTGAGGATTGGACAGACAGACATACCTATAAAACTGCACAAATGGGGTGATTAAAATTGCTTCTGCCTTATTTTTGCAAACCAGTCCACAGCAATGATTTTGAACTTCTTCCTAAGTAGAGGTGAAAACTGTTGGCAGGGTTTTGGGTTTTTTTCCATATGAGAGGAAGGCATTGTAATTGACTACTTTCACAATCAGCACTAATATCGCCCACACGCTGGTTAGCAAAAGAACAGTACAGTTGTATAGTAGTTCTTTTCCGAGGTTAAGCAAATGAAGTTGTTTAATTAATTCAATTCTTGTCTCTCTTTTTTGGAGAGAACATGTCATCAGAACATGTCTTTATTCTGAATCATGTTTTGCTGTTTCTCTTCTCTTGCTAACTTTATTGCAAGGTGTATCTGGATAAATTGCACCAGGTGCTGCTTAAATTGATAAGGAAAATTATACACTGCACAGGTGCAAAATGCTATTATAAACACATTATAACTACTTTATTCCTTTTTTCATTTTTAATATGGCATAGTATACGTTCTTCATTGAGCAGTATATATATTCAAAGGTTGAAATATTAAACAAAACCAAGCTTTTAGTTACTGGAATATAAGGGCACGTCCAGACTATGTTTTTTTTTCGAAAGGAGATATGCAAATTTGACGCTAATCTGCATATCTTCTTCCAATCGCATTTTCAAAAGTGGTTCTTTCTAAAGTGAAAGTAGTCTGGACGTGCTTTTTTTGGAAAAAAATTCCTTTTTCAAAAAAACCTGTTCTTTAAAAAAGGGGGTTTCTGGGGTTTTTTTTTTTAAGGGGTGTTTTTTTTTTAAAACCCCGTTTCACTTTCGAAAGACCCGCTTTCGAAAACACAATTGAAGATATGCAAATTAGCACCAAATTTGCATAATCTCCTTTTGGAAAAAAAAGTGGTCTAGACGTGCCCCAAGAGAGAAAATCAGGTTAGTGCTTCAAAGTGTGGAAAAGTCTCTTTTTTGTCACTAAGAGTGCATTTGCACAGCATCCTAAACTTGAAATAAGATACATAATTTGTGCTACACAAATTCCGTATCTTATTTTGAAACTATTTCAGAATAGTTTATTTTGAAATTCTGTGCATCTACACAGTGCCAGATTTAAAAATGAACGCACTATTACCAGCCATACTTTATCCTTTGTGCAATAAGGTTTACCAGAATGGCAAAATAGCACACCCATTATTTTGAAAAATATTTTGGAAAATATTTTGAAATAAATGGGTGGCTTGTATAGACATGGGGTAGCTATTTCAGGATACCTCCAGTATCCCAAAATAGCCATTCAGTGTAGAAGTGCCCTAAGATAACTTGAAATGATCAAACTAAATATCATCAAACTTTTCAAAAAAATCTTTATATGAACTAAAATAAGCATCAACATTTGGAGCCTCCTCAACTATAACTAAACATTATAATAAATACTTTAGTAATGCAAAATTATTTGGATTGTTTTGAATATTATTTTGTGGACTACTCATTTCAATTTCTATTTTTAGCTCAAATGAAAATAAACCTTCAAAATTAAAAGTTACAAAATATTAGCTCATTAGCATATTTTTGAAACTAGAGTTTCTTTGTTCTCTATGTAAAACCAAGAGTTGAGAATATGTCTTTTTTTTACTAATTACACTTACTCAGTTTGGTATTTCACTGCAGGATTTTCAAAGCCGTGCTGCAGTTCGTGAATTAAATGCAATTCCTCCTTTACTGGAACTACTGAAATCTGAGTATCCCGTAGTTCAGTTGTTAGCTCTCAAAACCTTTGGTGTAATTAGCAATGACAGAGAAACTAGAGTAATACTGAGAGAAAACCAAGGACTAGATCATCTTTTTAAGATACTGGAAACTAAGGTAACGTTTATTTGAATTATGAGTTAAACTATAAATGTAATCCTGGAAAAATGTGTTTCAGATATTCTGTATCCAAACTTCATCCATGCATCACACTAAAGAGATGAACTTCATCATTTAAAATTTGCTGTGTGGGGATTAACACTGTTTTTATAATGACATCACTGGTAATTTACTATACATTTTTATTTTATGTGAAGATTACTGCCTCAGTTTTAACCATCTATAAAATAAGTATGGTATTTATTAATATCCCTTGTGGCCATGTGCAGCAGGTGAACCTAGGTCTTGGGGAGACTAGCCCCAGGCATGCCCCTTCTGTATGGGGACCTGCATAGGCGTGCACAGCACATTTCATTACTGTGTGCACCCAAATAATTTTTTTAAAATGTACTCTTTGACCCCGATTAGCCACATCCCCTGACCCCCATTAGCCATGCCTCTGGGGGTATACTTTCGGGGCAATATGGACACATGACCAGAAATAAAAGATATCATGTGACACCCCCCCAAGGACTTTTCCCACCATCTTACTTCTCTTACCAATAGGGATTAGTTTGGCCCTCACTAACCCGCCCCCCCATGCAACTATCCTGCAATTCCATTAACCCAATGTGTGTGACATTAACTCGGGGGGTGGAGAGGCTGGGGGAAGTTTCTTCCCTCTAAGAGTTTCTTCCCATGAGCACAATAATTTTTGTGTTATGCACCAGTACTGAGTTTGTGGCTTGTTTGGATGTGCCACTGTGGCACCCAAGTTATTGATAAATATCTTACGAACCTCTACCTTTTCCCTCTGCTGCCATGTCTCCTCCCCTTGCTCCATCAGCTCCCCTGGTGCCTGCTGCCCCCCAACCCCTCACCCACCTCTGCTGTCCTGACTCCTGCCCTTCTCACTGTCCTCAGCCTTCCTGAGAGCTCCCCCCCTCCACCAGCCCTTTTCTCCCCCCCGTGCCCACTCCTCCAGTAGCCCCACTCTGATCATGTGAGCTACCCCTCCTCAACCTCTCTCCTAACACCTCCCTCTTCACTCCTGCCCTGCCTCTCTCCTCTGGTGCTGGTCCCTCCCCTGAAGGTGTCTGCCCTTCTGCTTCACTCCCAGAATCCCCTGGCATCTGCACCTTCCCTTACCCCTGCACCCTCTTGGTGCCTCCCTCTTCCCTCACTGTCTCTGCCCCCTTTGCCTTCTTTTTCCCTGATGCCCACCCCCTCACCACCCTCTGCCCCCATTCCCTCATGCCCCTGTGCCCTCACACATGCCTTGCTCCATCCCTGCCTTCCTCATGCCCACCACTTCTTTCAAGCCTTCTCCCGGCACCTACCCTTCTCCCCTCTAGCCCTCAAAGCCCTTCCCCTCTCCTCTCCTAGCATCATCCTGTCCCTCTTCTCACTGACACCTCCCCTCCTGCCCTTTTCCTCATTGTCTCCACTTCGCCCCCTGGCATTTGTCTTTCTCCTCCACTCTGTCCCTTGGTGCCTTCTCCTTTCTTCTCCTGACCTGCCCCCCCTCCCCTCAGCACAAGCCCCTTCCTCTCTGACCCTTTCCCCCTATTTTTCCCTCCTCCTCCAGCAGCCCCAGCTGGTCTGTAACAGGGACTGTTACCCTTCTGGTGCTCTCCCTACTCTGTCTGTCTTAGGTTTCTCAGCCCCCTTTTGGACCACAAATCCCCACCCCACAGTTTCTGGTTCCCAAAGTTCCAGCAGTCTCCCCATCACTTGGTCCGGGTCCAACTCGTAGGGTTTCGAGGTGTCCGTTTTTTTACTGGACAGTCCGGTTTTTGGGCCCTCTGTCTGGTAAAAAAAAAACCAGAAAATACCCAACACGTGCAATGTCTGGTATTTCCTGGTTTTCCGGCTGGGTGCCAGACTGAAGCCTGGCGGCGGCGAGGGAAATGACTGGAAAGTGGGGCGCAATTGGCACTG